GCTGATTCTTATATTTCAGAGTGTCTTAAGTTCAATCTTAAGATGTTATGAATCAATAAAATAAGCATTAACATCTTAAGACATTACTTAAGATGGTTATAAAATAAAAACCAACTATAAATATCGACCATAGATTCGAAATTTTCGAACAGTTTGTGTTCGAATCATAGCGATTTGAATTGAATCGAATCTTATTTGATTCGATTCGTATTCGAATAGTTCACACCTCTCTAGTCATAATGTAACACAGTGAATCATCCTTGTTTAACATTGACAAATAACAAGGACATAATAATCTAACTGTGTTACACTATGTCCTTACTAAAAAAATGTCCTTTAATTATTATCAATTCTAAGTTAATTAAATAGAATGACATTCTTACATTTTTATATACCTTTAACATAGTAAACGAATAAATACTCTTAATCTTCTTTTAAAATTCGATACAGAATATATCATTATGCTGTATTACTTACACGGATATCTTGAACTTTAGCTTCTCGTGATGTAAACTCACGTAATAAATAATTTTTCCCAAATTCGTGGTAAATACGTGTATCATTTATTCTTAGCATTACATTATCGATTCTAAGAAAATATCGTAATAATATAAAAAAACTGGCAGGCATGACTCTCTACACAAAAAAATTAAGAGGATTAACTTTGTTGCACGTTATTAGAAGTATGTGAGATAACTTACAATTTTGACTGAACTAACAGCAATGCCATTATCATGAAGTTCATCTTCAAACAATGTTAAATCATGATAAAACATAATCTTATCCCTCTGTCTTAATTTATCTATATCAATTCTCTCATTTGTTTCTTCGATTTTGAAGCCAGATATTGTACCAGTATAATTAGTAGTAAATGTCCAATCAAAAGGTTTGATCTTTTCTTCTAAATATTCACTACTTTCTGATCTGTTGATGTACACATTAAAATTATTTATAACAGTTGTACATAAACTTATTAAGTTCAGAATTATATATATTATATGTACCTTGATTCTTTCCATGCTTCTGCACAAGCAAGTTGCACATTAATCTTTCCATTAGAAACATATCTTAAAGCATCTAAAGCATTAAATTGCAGCAACGGTCCATCTTCATGTTTCAGAGATAATACGTTATTGGGAAACACCATATCTGGCATATGTGGCAATTCTAATGCATTACTATATCTATAAGAATAAGAATTGCATTTCTAAGAATTCTGATGTTATAATATTTTTAAGGTAACGATTAACGAGCAACATACACGCAAAATTGACAGGCATTTGTGTCATTGGTACTGCAGCCATTCTCGCTTTTGGAACATTTAGAATGAAGTATATGAGATTGGGTGTACTTGATACGCCATGGAGGACAAATATGTTCCTCCTCGTTTACCGGTAATCTTAAAATATCGATACCACCATGCACTTTTATAGCTGTCATATTGATCCAAAACTGAGAGGTCCTTGTTATGAAGAGAATCTGGCTAGATTAGGTAATCCCTGAAGGAAGAAGGGAAGAATCAAATCAACAATTAGATTTCTGACAATTATCATTCGTTTTAATATTTTCGTAATTATAAGATAAAGGTTAAATTTGTACATTAAACATTATAAATTATACATTATACCGAATTAATTACCATTAGAATATTACCAAGCATTTATTGCTTATTTAAACTATCTATAATTAGGATTCTATTTTTGCAATAAATTAAATTAAATTAAAAAAAAGTATTAATGTTTTGTTCTTCATATTGTTTTATTTTCATTATATTTATATTATACCAGCCAATGATTTTAACAGTTTGTATATTGTTGTGTACCTTCTCTATGTGTTCTTTATGTGTTAGATTAGATAACCTCACTAAACGCTATCATGAACTAACAAGCATACAGTAGTGCTTATTCCAGGCACATCCAACTTAGAGACTCTCTAATCAGAGTTGCGACATCAGGGGGTTGATTCTGTATCTTTAAATAAGGTGAAAATTACAAAAGTGAGCAAATTTACTAGATGTTGACCAATGAAATTATCAGTATTCTAGTAAATTCTCACTTTTGTAATTTTTACTTAGTTTTAAGGCTGATATTCATAGTCAGATTTTACATTCAAGATCGTCTTAAGTTCAGCCTTGAGGTATCACGAACCAATCAGAGAGCCGCATTAGCGTCTTAAGACGGTCTTGAAATAAGAATCGACTATGAATATCGCCCACAGAATCGATCCCCAGACAGCCAGTTTTGATTGGTCCGCCATTTTTCAGCAATTCCCGCCTATTCGAATGTCTTTTGTAGGAATGGGCGATGCATGTATCGATACGCTAAAATTCGTTTGCAAATTAACCTATTTTGCGAAAAATCAATTTTTCCAACCAAGATGTGCCATTTTAAACCGATACCTTTACAAAGAATTGTTTCTTTTTTTAACAAGGTTAAAGGTTTTTTTTAACTAACTTGCCGTATTAGTATGAACGAAAGCATTGAAATCCTATGGTTGAACTTTACCGGCACCGGCATAAGTTAACGGTTACGGCCATTATAAATCAGGCTTTAGGCTGCCTTCCCATGGAGAAAGAAACCACGGAACAGATTGGCTGCGTTCAGCAGAACGTTTGTTTTGCAACTGTTGGAAGTTTCCTTCGCGCTGATTGGATCATACTTTTAGATCTAGAAGAATGGTCCTATCTCAACAGACAATCATAAAACGGTTGCAAAACTGTTGAGTCTGCTGAACGCAGCCATTATTGACAGAAAAGAGATAGGACGAGGTTATCCTTATCCTATCTCTTTTCTGTCAATATTCCGTTCCGTGGTTTCTTTCTCCATGGGAAAGCAGCCTTACTTAGATACTCGATATTCAACCATCTTTCCCCGTCTCTCGAAGGTTCCTTCACCCCGGATCTACAATAAGTGTTTTAAGCCTTAAGCCATAAGAAATGGGCGAATCACAGTCGATTATTCTCCTCGAATTCGACTATAACCTCGGATCTACAATAGGTGTTTTAAGCCTTAAGAAATTGATCAATTACAGTCAAATTCGAGGAGAATAATCGACTATGATTTGTCCATTTCTTATGACTTAAGGCTTAGAACTCTATTGTAGATCCGGGGTAAGTCACGAGAAACTATCAAGGTTAGAAAGAGACAAAACGTATTCCTCTCTCTTTCGTGTGATTTTGCTGAAACTAGAAACCCTTAATGCGGGGTCTACAATAGAAGTTGTAGCGATCGTAGGGTCTTAAGTCGTAGAAAATTGACCAATCACAGTTGATTATTCTTCTCATATTCGATGTGATTGGTCAATTTTCTACGACTTAAGACCCTAAGGGTGCCGTCACATACAATCCGCAATCCGTAATCCGCACCGGATATCCGCAAAAGCATCCAGGGATTGCGTATGTACATACGGCAGATATTTCTCACGTAATCCGCAACTACGTGAAAAGAGAGTTCTAGTGCAGTCTAGTGCACGTCAGAAAACAGCCATTTGTTGTATTTACACTAATAACATATATCAAAGATTCATTATGCACTTCTAATTTCAAAATTATTGTCAAACAAATTAATCACTATTTATAAATTAAAGGTAAGTTATGGCACGTTTATTTTTGTTTGACGTCGGAGTGCAATTGCGTTGCGTGCTTACATGCTCCTTGTGTCCCATGGAGCCGCAAAATGCGAACGTGTAAATGTAATATTTTTTTTGGTAAGAAGTTATACTGTTCATTTTTATTTTATTTTATAAGAAAATTACAGAATATATTTTGAATATAACAAAAGTTTTAATTAAATCGTCAAATTTAGTCAAATAGATAAAATTAGGAAAAGCATTACTGGTAATAACTAGTAATTTTTACGGAAATTTCATGGGATTACGGCTCCATGGGACACAAGCAGGTAAACACACGTAACGTTAAGCCCATGGCACATATAAAAACGTAAGGCCGTAATACGTAAGCAGTAAAGAAATCGTAATGCATGGTCTACAATGACAGTAGCAGTAGTGGATGAGACTGTAAGAGTAACAAATTGACCAATTACAGTTGAATGTAAGAAAAATAATCGACTGTAATTGGTCAATTTCTTCATTCATTACTGATACTGCCATTGTAGACCACGCATTAGATTGGATTCGCTACTGGCCTTACGGTCTCTATCGTGATTGGCCAATTCGCTTACTGATTATGTCTTACGGCCTTACGTTTTTATATGTGCCATGGACATGTGCTTTACGGACGCAATACCTAGCAACTTTTGCAGATATCCGGTGCGGATTACGGATTACGGGTTGTATGGACGGCATCCTACGACCGCTACGACTTCTATTGTAGACCCCGCATAAA